AGGCAGGGTCAGAGTATAGGGGTTAGGTAAGAGAAGTTACCAAGATATGGACAGGAATTGGTTAAAATACTAGGAGAAAGACATTCAGGTGAATTCTTCCTTTCTGGCAGACTTGAGGAACTATAAAACCCAAGAGCAGAGAATTTCTCCCAGAAACCAATCCTTTCTTCCCTTCACACAGTCTTGAATGTCTGTATACTGATTGTAGTCCAGAGAGTCATTCAAATGGCTTCAATTTTCAAACACTGATACTACTCTCAACTGCTCTTAGTCTTTTTAAAAGTGTTTATTTATTTATTTTTAGAGAGGGAAAGGGAGAGAGAGGGAAACATCAATATGTGGTTTCCTCTCGTGGGCCCCCTGCTGGGTACTTGACCTGCAACCCAAGCATGTGCCCATACTGGGAATTGAACCGTGACCTTTTGGTTCACAGGCCCATGCTCAATCCACTGAGATACACAAGCCAGGACCTCTGAGAGTCTTTAGGGTCATATTTCTTTAAAGGGACTCCAACCATAGCTTGGGTTTCTCAACCCTGGCTGAAGTTAGCAATGCATGAGAGATTTGAATAAATACTGATGCCCAGGGCCCCAGACCCATTACATTAGAATGTCATGGATAAGAGCCAGGCACCATTAGGCTTCAGAAGCTGCCCAGGTGATTGTTAAATGCAGCCACAGATAGAGAAATAGTAGTCAGAGGTCTCAAACTTTAACTAGCACCCATGTCAGAATCACCTTCAATGTTGGTTAAACTCATAGCTGGCCTTCACTGGCAGCTTCTGATTCTGTGAGTCTTGGATGGGGCCCCTAGATTTGCATTTCTAAAAGGTTCCCAGTGATGCATAAATTACTGTTTCCCTCAACCGCAGCTAGAAAACCACCTTGCACCTGTGGTGACCCTGCACACTGGCCAGTGGGACTATAGAGCAGCTGTGCTGAGCTATTGCATTCAGTCATGTGTACCTCTTCCCAGCTCTGTAGTACATTGTTAGGCTAGTGGCTGAAAATTGTCAAATCAGGACTCTGCCACCCTCAGTTGCTAAGTATTCACAACCCGAATGACATCACGATTAGCAGGGATTTTGGAGGGCACCAACTGCGGTGCAATGCATCTGGTCTAGAAGAATCAGTCTTTAACAGTCATAATCAATAGGGTCTTCATTGTGATTACCCATATATGTGGCACAAAAAGGTACATACATTGAAAAAAAATTAATATTCCCACAACCACAGGCTCCAAGCATTAAAAATATTTTTTCTGGTCTGAGTTGTTAATACAATTAGCAGCTTTATTTTTTTTATTTTTTGTCTTTGGTTATTTTTCAAGTACAGTTTTCTGTTTATTTCTCCCATCCCAGCCCACCCCGCCCCGTGCTCCCCACCTCCCTCCCATTTCCATCCCCCTTAGTTATTGTCCCTGTGTCCTCTATACTTGTTCCTCTAAATCCCTCCCATTTTTCCCCTTAAATTCCCTCCCCTCTCCCCTCTGGTCGCTGTCCCCTTGTTCTCTATTTCAATGTCTTTATTTTTATTTTGCTTGTTTGTTTTGTTGTTTAGCTTCCTTTTAAAGGTGAGATCATATGGTATTTGTCTTTCAACACCTGACTTATTTCACTCAGCATAATGCTTTCCAGTTCTATTGGCAGCTTTATAATAAGTACATTTATAAAGTATTTCTAAAGTACTATAAAGTACTTATTACTTTATAATAAGTACATTATAAATTTTGAAAGTTTATTAAACAGAGGAGACTCTGGGGAATGCCATTTCAAATTTCTCATTTGGCACCTTAGGAATTTTTTTTCCTTTTAAGTGAAATTTATTAATTTTTTATTGATTATGCTGTTACAGTTGTTCTATTCCCCCTTTCATTCCCCTCCACCCTACCCCCCCATCCCCACCATTACCCCCCTTTAGTTTATGACCATGTGTCTCAAGACCTTTAGATTCTATATTTCCCATGCTATTATTGCCCCCCTTCTATTTTCTATCTACTGTCTATGCTACTTATTTTCTGTACCTTCTCCCCCCTTCTCCTCCTCCCACTCCCCTGTTGCTAACCCTCCTTGAGATCTTCATTTCTATTTTTCCACTCCTGATCTAGCTGTCCTTTTAGTATGCTTTTGTTTTAGGTGTGGTTGTTAATAACTGTGAGTTTGTTGTCCTTTCACTGTTCATGTTTCTTTAACTTCTTTTTCTTAGATAAGTCCCTTTAACATTTCATATAATAAGGGCTTGGTGATGATGAACTCCTTGAATTTGATCTTATCTGAGAAGCACCTTATCTGTCCTTCCATTCTAAATGAAAGTTTTGCTGGATAGAGCAATCTTGGTTGTAGGTCTTTGGATTTCATGACTTGGAATACCTCTTTCCAGCCCCTTCTTGCCTGTAAGGTCTCTTTTGAGAAATCAGCTGACAGTCTGATGGGGACTCCTTTGTAAGTGACTGCCCCTTATCTCTTGCTGCTTCTAGGATTCTCTCCTTCATTTTAATCTTGGCTAATGTAATTATGATGTGCCTTGGTGTGTTTCTTCTTGGGTCCAATTTCTTTGGGACTCTGAGCTTCCTGGATTTCCTGGAAGTCTATTTCCTTTGCCAGATTGGGGAAATTCTCCTTTATTATTTGTTCAAATAAGTTTTCCACTGGTGGCTGTGCCTTTCCCCCTTCTGGTTCCCCTATAATTTGGATGTTGGAGCGTTTAAAGATGTCCTGGAGGTTCCTAAGACTCTCCTCATTTCTTTGAATTCTTGCTTCCTGACTCTTTTCTGTTTGGCCATTATTTGCTTTCTTTTGGTCCACTCCATTGATTTGAGTCCCAGTTTCCTTTTCATTGCTATTGGTTTCCTGTGCAATTCCATTCATTTCAATTAGTTTTGCCTTCATATATTTGTCTAATTTGTGGCTATAATCAACTGTTCTGTGAGGATCCTGATCACCAATGTTTTAAACTGTGCTGCTGAGAGTTTTGCTATTTCTTCATTGCTTAGATCTATGGGCTCTGGGGCTTTGAGATCTTCTTGCGACATTTTTGGTCTGTTCGCACCCTTTAGGTATGAGAAGCGGTGCCTTGGACTCCCAGGTCTCTGGGTTGTGACACTGTATGTGGGGGCGTGGTCAGAGCGGGGAACTGGCGTCACCCTCTGCTGTTTCTCGCAGCTGGGTGAGGAGCAGCCTTAGGTGGTTCACCTGGGCCAAGCCACTCAGAGTCGCTGGGTTATGACACTGTATGTGGAGGTGGGGTCAGAGCAGGGAAATGGCAGCGCCCTCCACTGCCACTTGCTGTGGGGACCCACCGGGCCCTGGTCCAACCGCCCACTCCCTCGCCTGTCCACCCGCACACTAATGCGTGACCACAGTCAACATGCAGCACCGCTCCCCTACTGTTTCCCCTCGGTTGCTCGCCTGGTCGCTGGCTTGGTCGCTCACTAGGTCCAACCCTGTGCCTGGATTCCGAGTGTCTGGATTCCGCACGCCTGAGTCCATCTGACCGAGTTTTCCTGTGCAACCCCGCTTCACCAGCCGCTGGTTTCGCCCCTTACCCGTCAGGCTGAAGAATTGGTTGTTAACAGACTTCCGAAAAGTTCGATTTTCTGTGTTCTGGATGTGTTTTCTGTTGCTAATATTTAGTTGTCTCTAAACTTGGTTGTGTGAGAAGACACAGCACATCCACCTATGCCTCCATCTTGGCGGAAGTCTCACCTTAGGAATTTTTAAACACTGGGCAGTGCCAGAATGCGGAGTTAGGGGAGGGAACAAATATAAACACTGAAATTGCAGGCGCATGCACGGATGCTGAAGATTTGGAAATTGACTTTATTTTAATAAATCATGTCCAAGAACCCTTGGGCAATCTGTGTAGCCCGATTTTGAAACTGCTTGCCTAGACTGTGCTGCTAAAATCCTTCAGCCCACTTTCATCGGGAAGTAGCCACACTGCATGTGATATCCACTTCTCATTCTGGGCTTGGATCTGGCCAGTGTGCCCTTAGTCACTGGGAGGCCAGGATCAGGACCAGGAGACCAGATTCAACTGAAACCTTTGCTCTTCATGGTAGAAACCACATCCTTTCTGCTCAAACATTGCTCTCCACAAAAAAAACAGAGCCATGACCTTGCTTAGAATAACCCTTCAGGCACTAACATCTGGGTAGGCACTTGGACACTAGAAGCAAAAACATTTTTTTAAAAAAGAGGGTCTTTCTAGCCCTGGCTGGTATAGCTCAGTGGATTGAGCGCAGCCCTGCGAACCAGAGGATCGTGGTTCAATTCCCAGTCAGGGCACATGCCTGGGTTGCAAGCCAGTTCCCTGCAGGCCAGTTCCCAGCAGGAGATACATGAGAGGCAACCATACATTGATGTTTCTCTCCCTCTCTCCTTCCCTTCCCTTCTAAAGATAAATAAATAAAAATAAGTATTTAAAGAAAAAAGAGGGTCTTTCTAAAGAACCTTCCTTCCACGCTGAAGGCTAGGTTTCCATATTTTGGGGGGAGAGGCTATCTTTTGGGACAAATTTCCTTACAATTTGTGCCATGCTGTGTTTAGCTAACTTTACTGTTTGGCTGACTCAGAAAATCACCAGAATCAATTTCTCATCCAGACCATCAAAGGGTAGAAAAAAAATTCTCTTTTGATCTCATATTGACCCCAGGGCTATGCTGAGTTTTTAATTTTGGGTGGGTTGGAGGAACAGGGTGAGTGGCAAGAGAGAGGAGTTTTCTTCAGTTCCCCCTACCTGCAAAACACACCTTGACCTTCTTCTGAACCAAGCCAAGATTGGCTATGAACATTACAAGAAGAGTTTGGAAACTCCATGTGTTGCCCTTGTGGCGCAGAGGCCCTGTGTCCTTCTCTAAAGATCCATGGGGCCAGAACCATAGTAGCTTGGTGGACTTTGGTACAACTGGCCTTCTTCACATATCAAAGTGCTTGATTTCCAAATGACAAGTCTGTCTAAGTAAATAAATCAATCCTAACTTTCTTTTTTGTTTCTTTGCAGTGAAATACAAAATGGAGGATGTCGCTGCAACTCCAGCACCTTAACCATTGTTAGTATCTTCCCTTTTGAGCACCAATGACCCCATTCAAGGAGAAAGTCCAAATTTTGCTTCCTTTATTGTTAGTTTTTTAATGACTAGATTCAGTACATGTGAATACAGAATCTTTCCCACATAAGATAGGATTTGTTGCACACATCTTTAGTGCAAATAGTTCTTAATTTACTGGTAAGAATACACTAGTTTTAACTTTCTGCCTTATCCGTAAATTTTATTTTTTCATCCATATATTACTTCGGTGCTTCAGAAGTTTTCTTCTATACCAACTTCCATGAAAATGAACCATGAGCTCTACTTCCAGTGATAAAGTGTCCTGGTTACTAGTTTCCCACTTTTAGTCACCTTTGCAAAGAGCCATACTTAAATTTAGGTCCCAAAACCTCTGAAGTTTATCTGGTGCATACTCTTCATTAAAAAGATTACCACCTGTGATCATTTCAAAAGGAGACTGGCCCTTAACTTTTCACCCAACAAGATGTAACACTTAAACCTGGACAGCTGTAACAAAGGATTTTTGTTGTGTAGGCTCCAGAATATAGGAAGTTCCTCATTTTATGGGCAAGTTGAATTATTACCATCATTTGTTCTTTGGTTTGCTGTTAACCAGGATTTTCCCATTCAGAGAGCCACAGCTTTTGACTCTGGGCAAAAGCCTCGTGGTTGTATTGGGTTGTTTTGACAAATGACCACACATCTTAAGGAAATAGTGAAGCCTTTTGTGTTAAGAACAGCATTTTGAAAATAAAATCTATGTGCTCATGCTTTAAAACTTTTTTAATTTGTAATATTTATATACAATCATGTATGGTACACATTGATTGTCTTGAAATTTCTTTAATGATTTTTTTCTTATAAGTCAGCCAGAGGAGGGTGAAGGTACATTATAAAACACATTAATACATTTAATAAATACATATTACCTATCAGAAGTGAGTCATAGCTCTTTATTAATTCATAAAAGCACCTACAGAGAACTCCTGTAAGCTGGTATAATCATTGCATATTGGATTATAAAAGCCACAATGCTCCCTTTCAGACCCGGGTTCAGATCAGCAGTGGCCTACCTAGAAGACCACCCTATATCTATGTGAGTTCATTGGGCCCTGATGGAATCTATGCTACAAGCACTGGATCCCACCTTTCAACACAGAACCCAAAACCCTGGAGTCCCAGTTTGTCAGTCAGTTCTCCAAGCCAATTACCTCACAAGCTCCTCCATCTCCATGGAGAAATCCAGCCCATAATGACCATTTTCTATTAAAAGGGAGACAAGAGTGGCTATTATAGTCCCAAGGTAACTTTAATAACCAGACATGGAAAGATTTATGCTTATAATTAGGTATTTTTATCACAGATGCTCCCCTTTCAGGTCATCTTCCCCAACAAGTCTCCTTTACATAAACATCTTAAAGAAAGACGCCATTTAATTTTACATTTACACTTTTGTTCCATGGAGGGAATTGGCTGCCAGAGTCTCTTGGCCAACATGTCTCTTTGTACCATGCAGGTGTAATCATTAAAAAAATAACAGTTCTCTGCACTCTTCCCTCATTCCCCATCTTTGCCCCCATTGTGAGGACATTCAGCCTACTCTCGATCTTAGGGCCAAAATAAAATAAAACTCAGAGCACAATAACATATCAGAAGTTTAAAAGAAAGAAGAAAGGTCTTAATAAGGAAGGTTCTCTATGCCTCAAAACTGGTTCCATTTTTATGGTGGTAAAACATTACATTCCACTCATAGTGATTTATGCTGAGCTATCTTACATGCCTACACCAAGAACTTAGAAAGTACTCATGTAAGTTACTCCCTTCTTCAAGGGGCTCCTGCAGAATGAGTCACAGATGGGATCAGGGAGCTCTGAACGACTCCAGGATCCAGGGGTGAGTGACCATGTCCTGGCACATGAATGTGCAATGCAGTTGGTTTTCACATACCTGGACCCACGTGTTGGAAGAATTATGTATTTTGACAATTCTTGGTGTGCATGCAACCACCTCCACTCCCACCCCAAGTTTTCAGTTCACCCAATGATGATCCTCTCACAAGTGACTGGAGTCTGGTTCTATAGAAGCAAGTGTGTGCTTTAGGCAGGGGAGGCAGTTTCCAGAGATCAGGGCTGGGGGCATTCTGGTTCCATGCTTCCCTTCCCTATGTGTGGTGATGAGAAATGCACTAGCAGGACAGAAACCCCAAAGGATGGTCTCTCACAGGGGACGGTCTTGTTTACCCCAGTGCTCTACAAGGATCGGGGAGGGGAGGCGAGGACAGGACACAGCAGAGACTAGGTCCTCAAGAATAATCAGAAGGTTTATTAAAACATAGATCAGACACATTGGCTTATGCAGAGGTCAGTTTGCCCTCACCAAATGCAAAACTTTTTCATTTTCTTTAAAAGGTTAAAGGCTTATGGGTTGTTTTATAGAAAAAAAGCAATATTAGAGTGTAGGCAAAAGGATCCAACCTCACATAGACATTCCATGCTGTCAGGTTAAGACTTTGCTTTGAATCATTAGTGATTATGCTGGCCAAACAGGGCAGAAAACATGGCACTTTGAATGGCTGAGTAGTTTGAAATGCCAAAGAACCAAGGAATGACTTTCTGAGAACAAATGGAAACTGTGACAGAAACAATGAGCTTTAAGAGTCAAACCATTTTCATGGAACTTTCAGAGAACATCAAGTTAAAATGTACACCACTCCTTCCAAAAGCAGCAAGAAAGCTCCAGATGCTCCACTCCACCCTGGAACTTTCATTACATCAATGTAAAAGCCCAAGAACTCACTGCACATTAGCAGCAGGGTCATAAATCTAGAGGCCACCCCTGGAATACCCTGCCATGTGACATTATCTGGGAAAATGTGCTGTGGTGCCTGCCTTCCAACCCAGGAGCTTTTAAGTCGGCGGCCCTATTTAAGCCTTTGAAATGAATGGGGATAAAATTGGGAGAGGGCTTGGAAGAGCACTGGTAAGTGCCTTAAGAGGGAGAAATGATCAAAGGAAGAAGACACTGCTGTCTCAAGCCAGACTGTTGCTTAGTAATATAAAGGAGGGAAGTGTGCCCCGGCTGTTGTAGCTCAGTGGATTGAGCTCGGGCCTGCGAAGCAGACAATCGCGGTTCGATTCTCAGTCAGGGCACATACCTGGGTTGCAGGCCGGTTCCCTGCAGGCCAATTCCCAGCAGGGGACGCAAAAAAGGCAACCATACATTGATGTTTCTCTCCCTCTCTCCTTCCCTTCCCCTCTAAAGATAAATAAATAAAATCTATATAAAAAAAAACATTAAAGGAGGGAAGTGCCTTGCTTTCCTGTCATAAACGCTAGTCCATAGGGGTCACCAGTTTCTAAATGTGATGAACACCAACTCACAGGTGACATCTCCTCTTTGGCACATGATAGAGTCTCTCCACCACTATTGATTGTAAGACTTGACCCATGATTTGATTAGGCCTCTCCTTGGAATCATACTCACAATCTCCTGAACTGCTCCTGACACTCCCCTGAAATGTGCAGGCTGGCGGGAAAAACCCCCATTGGTCCTCCTCAGTGAAACCTCCAAGAGGCCACCAGGGGTTGAGGAGGGGAGATGGTGGCACACTGGCTGTGAACTTGGTTCTATTCTACCAAGGATGTTAACAGTCTTCTTGGACATATATTTGAGTGAGCCTAATACTGTTTGCAATTAGCTTTGCTTTAATTTGTAGGGATTGAGGTTGGTTTGGTATTATAGTGGCAGTGGGGACCAGGCAGGGAGGGCAGTTGGTATTAGCTTTTCAGTTCAGCAGTGTTCACATTTTCACAAAACCCCCTTGTCTAGGATTTCCAAATCTGACTATGAGGCAGCCTTATTTGGCTACTGTTACTGATTTCTCCCTCAAGAAGTACAGCAAGGAAATAAAATTGGTAAGAGTTCTCTGGAACTTTTGTCTTTTACCAGAAGTGTCTTCCAGTGTAACTTGGTGGAGCAGTTGGGATCTGGAAACAAGGATAACACTCTAAGAACTCTATGCTGTACAAAGTGTCAGAACCAACAAGTTAATAATGTGCCAAAGATCAGTAACTGGCTATTTCAGGGACTGGAGTTCCCAAGAGAAGCAGTAGCCACTCTGTATTATGTCATGACATTCTTACTTAGAAACCCAGTTCACTTTCTAAGTTCGGGATGTTTTCATGTCTTGAAGGTATCAGGAGGGCTTAAGAGTGACTAACAGGGCCACTTTCTAACCATAATTATAACACACACGTGGGTGAATGCCTTGAGTTAGGCCTATCTTGGCATCCAATGATGAATCTAGTCCAACTGATTGCAGGGAGGCTTCAGAATACAAATTTGTGACTGTGCTTGCATTTGAATCTGTTCCATACCCATGGAAATCAGTGTCTAACACAGTATTCACAAGGCTAGGAAAACCAAAGTTCCTTCTAGAGATCATAGACCATTTCTGGCTTACATCAAAAACAAAAGAAGCTCAGGCTGAGTAGTGGGCATGTAACAGAAAAAACGGAAATCCAATTTACACGTATAAACTTGTCCATGCATTGTTCAGAAAGAAGCATGAAGCAATGGTTGGAAATTAAATGTGGGAATGAGAGTGCATCTTTGGGTTGCTAGAGAAGCAAAATGATGTCATTCTCACAGGTAAAACACAGTGACAATTCTGCCAATGTCTGTTTGGCATCAGCTAGTAAACCTGCTTTTATGCACATGGAAGACAAATGACAATTACTTCAATCTCTCAAGACAATTCTTAGGAAATGTGAGCGTGGCAACCTGGTACCCAGCTAGGGCACAGAGTTAGAGGGAGAATTAAAAGGGGGGCCTAAACTAGGTTGGATACCCGCAAAATCTGCCAGGGACTCATAATTCTGAGCTGTTCCTGAGAGTCATCTTCCAGGCAGAGTGAAGGATACTTTCTGTATAATGAAACCAGAGAATTCACTGGATACAAGAGCCCAAAAATGGTGACCCTTTTAAATGAATCTACAGGTCATACACTAAGTACAGGTGGATCTTCAATGCATGAAGAAAGGGGTAAAAGAAAAGTGGAAGCCTTGCATGCATTCTAGCCACAAGGTGTCTACTTAAGCCACTGTCTCTGCAGACCTGTCAGCAGCCTCTGCAGAGCAGTGTGTCCCTGTTGAATCTGCTCCCTTCCCCCACACACTGACCTTTCTTAGGCTTTCTGACAAAACATCACTGCTTAATACTTACAGTCCCTCCATTGAGCACAACGGCCATCTCAGTTGGCTGATACACATTGCTTCTAAACGGAGCACTGGGTCTGTTTCCTAAACTGCCATTGCGAAATCCTGCTGTCCGGAGAGCTGAGGGAGGGAGGGAAAAGCAACACACACACACACAAAAAGACAACTTTGTTTTCTTTCCCTGTATCAACACCATGCTCTGGGCACACATTTCCCCCTCTCTCCTCCTCTATGTCACAAGCCTGATTCCAAACAAAAGTCACAAAGGGACTTTGTTCTCTGGCTCTCTTGGACCTTACCCCATCTCAGTTGTATTGGGAGGTCTGTAGAATCCAGGCTGCATCCTACTGGAGGTGGAGAGCACTGGGCCTCTACTCCCTCCCTCCCCAGCTCCTGCAGGCCACAGGTGACAAGGAAGGAAACACATCTGCATTCCCCAGAAGCTCTCCTTTGACAAAAGACCTCCTCACTACTGAATACCATTCATGTCAAGTTCAACATCACACTGTTCAATACTGTTCACTATTTCTGGATATACACAGAGATAGGAAAGAACATGGACATCAAGGTACACTTCATGGGAAAGTGATGTGGAAGTACTCCGACCAAACAAGTAGGGTTCTTTCTAAGTGGAAAAAAAAAAGGGAGATCTGAAACAAAGAGAGAAAAACATACAGGCACCTTTTACCTCTGAAAGTTGGGCAAACTGTATTTTATTTGTTGTGTTCTTTATAGGTCCCCCTTTTTATACTCTCCCCTTTCTTTATAAAGATAAACCTAATTACACCAAAAGACATGAAGAAAACTTAAATGCATGCAGCTAAGTGAAAGAAGCAAGTTTGTAAAACCTACATACTATATGATTCCCATTATAATATTCCTGAAAAGGCTAAACTAGGAAGATAGTAAACAATTAGTGATTGCTAGGGGTTGGTGGTGGTGATGAATTGGTGGAATGCAGGGAAATTTTAAGCAGTGAAACTATTCTGCATAACTTTAATGGTAGATACATGACATTATGTGTCTGTCCAAACCCACAGAACTATGCAGAATGCTCTATAAAATGTAAATTAGGGGCTTTAGTTGAAAATAATGTATCAATCAATATTGATTCACTAACTGCAACACTAATGTAACAAATACAAGTTGTTAATAATAGAAAAACCATGGGAGGGTGTTGTGGGAACTCCATGTACTCAATTTTTCTATAAACCTAAAATTGCTCTTTAAAAAAATGTTCATTAAAAATAGTAAGGAAAGCATTACTTTTAAAAATCAAGAAAAAAGTCCATCTTACTTGTGCCATGGCATCTTCATTATCTTCATTTTCACTGAAGGCACTACTTGCTTTTAAGCAAAGCCTCTCTCAAAAGTCTTCCCTAAAGGGAGTCATCTTTCTGACTAAAAAGTAGCAAGAGAGCTTGGGATTTTCACAAATTCCTTGGAGCAGGGACCAAAATCACCTTGCTAATATAGTTAACCTTCATAGAGTGCCAAACAGGACCCAGGCACTGAGGAAAAAATATATATATCACATAAATATGCATATTAACATACATATTAACTTATTTCATTTTCATAGCACAATAGGTACTTTTATTATATCTACTTTACATGGGCCACAGAGAGATTAAGTAATTTTTCCAGGGTCACACAGCTGCTAAATGGCAGAATCAGCATTTGAACTCAAGCAGAGAATCTGTATTCATAAGTATTACACTATAGTGACTCCAGATACTATGTTTTTAACCACCATACTCAGTTAATTAGAAGCAACTTGAATTTAAGTGGCTTAGGGACAGCTCAACACAGACTGGACCACGGAAACTGTGGCAAGGTCAGGAATACATGTTCTCAACAGGGGTGTCCAAGCTTTTGGTATCTCTGGGCCACACTGGAAGAAGAGGCATCCTGGGCCACACATTGAATACATTGTGACACGTAATAACACACACAAAAAAATCTCATAATGTTTTTTGTGTTGGACTGCATTCATAGCCATGCTGGGCCACATGCAGCCCACAGGCTGTGGGTTGGACACCCCTGTGTAAGACGTACTTATGAAAACCCTTTTGCTTTAGCATCTCCAAGCCTTCAACAACCTCTTAAGTATGTACTCAGCAAGAAAATGCCCTTCCTGGAAAGTAAAGAAGGGGGTGCTGGGACACAGTAGGGGACAGAGGAGACCATCCATGGATTCTTACCAGTCTCAATTCCTATCCTAGACCTGCTCAAAGAGAGGGAAGACCAAACAGCACAGCTTTCCTTATAGTGCAGAAACCCAGCCAGCTATAGTTGGGAGAATCTGGCTCCAACAGATTCTCAGCTCTACTGTCCAGCTGTGGGATGTCTTGGCCAGAGAATCAGTCTCTATGATGGTTATTTGTGCTTCTCCTCTGGTAAACATCCCTCTCACATTTTAGCTCCCTTAGTGTTGGCTACAGCTTCTCTCCCACCCCCACCCCCAGGTGTGCTTGTGATTTAGGCCTAGCCAATCAGGGCATCAGATCTCCGCAGCCATGCTATTTGCTTCAGAAAAGGGCCATCAGGTCAATCAGAGTTAACTCTGGGACTTTTGCTCAAACGTTCTAGGAAATGTTCTGTGCAGCCTAGAAATGTGGGCTGCCATGATGCTAACAAAGTTAAGAAGATGGTTGAACAACAATTAAATTAAAAAGAAGATGGAGAAAGATCAAATCTTGTCATCTTGAGCTTTCTGGATATAACCATTCCTGAAGCTTGATACCTAGTTTTGTTGTTGCCATTGTTTTGTTTTGCTTAAGCTGATTCAAATCAGATTTCCATTACTTGCAACTTCAAGAATCCCAGCTAACAGCCATTTTGACCTGAGGCCACTTGGAAAAGCATGCAGGGCTCATCCATGAGAGGGTCCCCATAGGAATCAAAGATCATAGGTTGCATGCCAGGCTTCCCCTGTCTAGACTGCAAATGAGGCTAAATTGGCCCTGGCCCCAAAGCTGACTCACTCAAGGCCTTCCACTGGGAAGCTAAGGGTCAGAGTTTAAATAGTCCTTGGCCCTAATGAGATCTAAGAGCCCAAATCCCCTAACAGAAAAAAGAACTCTTTTTTTTTCCAGCTCTTTGGAAAGATGAACATTTAATGTGCCTTGTTAACACCTTTGAAGATGTGATCTGATGTGTTATATCCTTCAATGTATTTTAATCCTTTTACTCACATACCTCATACCTTGTTGATTCTTATTAGTAAGCAGCAGGCTGGTGAAGTCATATATATCAGGGGTCTCACTCGGGGGAAGGGAATAAGGAAGGAAAGACTGCTGGGGCTTCGCTGAGCCATAGGCCAGCCTGGGTAATGGTCTTCCCACCTCTTAAAGAGTCAGGGCAAACTTTCAAGGGAAGAGAGCCTAAAAGTCTGACTGGCTGAAATGCAAGAAAAACAGGGCCACTGAAGCTCCTGGGCAAAGCCCTTGGTGGGGCCGTTTCTTAAAATGTAAGCTGGCTGAGATAAGCACCACAGGTGAATAGCTAGCTATTCTCACTGTGGCAAGAGTGTGCTCAGGCATTCCCCAGCTAGCAAAGCAAGGGCTTCTAGAACAAGGGTAGTCCCCTATCCAGGATGCTAATTTAGCCTCTTTGTGAGCTTTCTGAGGGAGCTAATGGCTGGAGCCTTCCCTATTTGGCCTTATGTAAATTTTGGTGGATTACAAATTTGGGAAGATGCAAACTAGGGCTATTTTAAAAAGTATGAGAACATTCAAGATTGGTGAAGAAGTGGAGACAATAAGGTTCTCTATTGATTAAAGGGGGACAGTAAATTAGCCCACCATTCTGGAGGACTGTCTTGCAGTATATATCAAGATTTAAAGGTGCAGAATCTTTGATGCATCTTTAGATGCAGTCTAGGATTTTTTTTTTTCTGTCAAGGAGTTAATTGATCAATGGCACAGAGATGAATAGATAAGAATGCTGATTGCAACAAACGGATGGTTGCCATATGGGAGGGTGTTGGTCGACTGGGTGAAAAGGGGAAAGGTATTAAGAAGTAGAGATTGGTAGATACACAATAGCCATGGGAATGCAATGTGATGGTGTAGCAAATAGAGTCAATAATATTGTAATAACTATGTATGTTGCCAAGTGAGTACTGGACATATCATCAGGGAATTTATGATCAATTCATAAATTATATAAATGTCAAACCACTGGATTGTACACAAACTAATATAATATTGAATGTGAACTACAAATGAAAAATTTTAAAAATAAAAAAAGCTGGAAACAAGTGAAATACTTGCCAGCTGAAGATCAGAAAATTAATTATGGTGCCTAATGGAAAGCTCTGCATCATGATAAGGATACTGAAGCTCTGCAGTCACTAACCTGGAAAGGCCTCAGCCATGATACTGATTTAAGCAAGCACACTGCACACCACCCAGGGGTTTCAACCTGCTTACATTTTAGAATCACTTGGAGAGCTTTAAAAATACCTAAACCCAAAGGAGACTTACTCAGAATAAGGTGTCAGGCACTGGTAATTTTTTCAAGCTGCTCAAGTAATTCTTATGTGCAGTTAGGTTACGAATGGCTCTATGGGATTGTCATATGTGCTTTGTGTGTGTGAGAAAGGGAGAGAGAGAGAGAAAAAGAGAGAGAGAAAAAGAGAGAGAGCCAGAGAGAGGGAGAAAGAGAGAGAGAGAAGGTGACTGTATATGTATGCATTCATGTATAGATGTCTGGCAAGATGGGAGCAAACAGCAGTAGCTGCCTTTGGGCAAGGGTATTCTGAGCACCTTTTATTATTCTTGCTAAAACTTTTACAAGGTTATTATTGATCTTTTGACATCAGGAAGGAATGTTAAAGCTATTTTTGTTTTGGAAAAGAGAGAGGGAAAAGAAAGTACTTCAAGACAAGTACTTGGCATTGGTACATATGAGGGGTGAAACAGATAGGAGTAGAGGCACCTTTGGAAATCCACCACCCTGAGCCAGCCCTAGCACTGCTGGTACTAACCTGGATCCCAGTTCCCCTTGATCTCTGGACTTTATGTGGATTGGACATATTTGATGTATTTTCACAGGAAAGGACGCATGTAACATGAGCCAAAAAATCAGCTTCCGTGCTCTGCTGTGCACTTACAGTGTTGAATTGAGCAAGCTACCTCAGTTTCCTGCTCTATAAAATGGGACTGAAAACCACCATCTTCTCAATGCACAGAGTTTTCCCAACACATCAGTGAGATTAGGGACGCCAATGTGCTTTAAGAAGAGTAATTCTGTGGCAGAGTGGTCAAGCATGTGGGCTCTGGAGCTAGACCACCTGGGTTCACACCTCAGCTCTGCCTCAGTTTCCTATCTGTAACATGACTTCCTTGGGTTATTGAAGGCATCAAATGAGATTAACTACTAAAATGCACAGAAGGGTACTTGGTCCATAATGAGCATGCAGTAAAGGTTAGCTATCCTTACTTTTGAAGAATTTAATACTTGGATAGTTCTAGCATCCCCATTTCACTGCAAGGAAAGTAGACCATCAAGTTCTTAACTTTCTGGGGGTTACAAAGAGGTGAAAAAGTGACAGACCAATTAGATAATGAGTAGAAAAAAATTTACATCCATTTCAGGCAATCTCATTATCATTGAGGTCCCAGGGGAGTCCACAGGACTCAGACAAAAAGGAACCTGTTTTGGGAGGAGCCAAGTAAGAGGTGCCTCCCTTAGGACACCAGGAAGTGGCCAGGATCCTAGCCTCTGCTCCTCATGTGCCCCAAAGGGCCCTCTGGGCTCTCAGAGATAATCCCCACACTGACCTCCTAAGTCAATCACCTGCATCTGGTGTCAGACCCCACTTTCAGGAGAACCAAACCAAGATGGCACATTCAACATGCCAAGTACTGTGGGAGCCTCTAGGTATGTTACATGCAGCATGTTACTTCTCGCTACAGTTCCATGAGAGACGTTCTGTCTTTTTTTACAGATGAGAAAAACTGTGGCTTAGCAAGATAAAATAATCTACTCAAAGGCAGATATCTAGGAAGTGGCAGACACAGTATCTGAACCCAGACATCTGACTTGAGGGTTCAAATTCATATACTCTTGGTGCCAGAGGTAGGGGAGAGGACACAAGCATTGCCATTCAGTGTCTAGCACATGGGCTACAAATGCAAATACTTCCAGGGAGCCAGACAATTAATGTTAACATGTTATAGTGGTTGGGCCAGGGAAAATAGGGAGTGGTGGGGAGTGTGGTAAACAGAAAGTGGATTTCCATCTAAAGGAGCAACTATAACGTGGTGAGGGGTAAGAGGCAAGGCCTTCCAGCCAACTCCAGACAGTTGCTGCTACCTGGGAATGGTGGCCATGCATTGTCAGATCCAACTTTTCAAAATAAGCCAGAAACCTGGATTTCTATATTAAAGCAGTTGGCAATTTATAGGAAAAATTCTAAATGAAAATCCATTTCTGGGCCAGTATCCATACAGGGGCCAGTGTTTGTGAACTCTGATCAGTCTAGGACTGTCCCCTGGACCACCTAGCACCACCGGAAAGAAGAGAGTCCTTTTAGGACAGAAGACCCCAGAACCTAACCCAGCAGGTAGCCACCACTATACCTGCATTTTGTTCATCCATGGAGAAGGCTTTGTTCTCCATGTAGGCTCGTGGTAGCTGCATGTCCTCTTCAAAGGCCGTCTCCTGCATCCTTGGCTGGGATGTGTCAAAGTAGTTAGGTGTGTTTTCCTGAGGGGAGGGCAGGATGGTGCAGTGGATTTCAGGAATGGAGTGGAAGATGATGAACACCCAGCCACTGGCCACCAGTGTGATAGCCAACGTGGGGTCACCCCAGGTATCTGCCTGCTGCAGCTCCGCATTGCCGAAGAGGTACATGGTCATCCAAGCCACCCAGATAAGCACAGAGAAGAAGGCTGTGAGGAGGATGCAAGCCCCATTCTGTTTCCACTTCTTGAACTTGCCACACAGCGTGAAAAGGGCCAGTCCCAGGGCACCCACAAGCAGTACCATGTCGTAAATGAGGGCCATAGTGAAGTCCATTGGCTCGTAAGCGCAGGCCGGCTTCGAGTCACGCAGCACAGTCAGCACCAGCCACTCTATGGCAATGATGACTTGAACCAGCGTCAGGCACAGCACTGCACCCACCAGATGCCAGCCAGACGGGCTCCTGCCCTGCCGCACTAGGCTCCGAATGCGCCACGCCTGGCTCAGCAGGCAGGAGAAACAGAGCGCAAAGAGAATGCCCCAGAGGAAACGACGCACTGAGCAGATAGTCTCATCCTCCCGGATGATGAAGGCAAAGGTCAGCCCGAAGAGGCCCAGGGTCCCCAGGAGAAATAGGAAGTGGAGGCCCAGAGGGTTCTTCTTCTCCTTGTCCTTGATGAATGGCAGCCGCACCAGGAGGATGAGCATCAAGAGCAGTGTGATCAGAGCACCCGCTCCAGCCACCACCTCTAACACGATGCCCCAGATGGTGTCCAGGTCACAGAGTGACACATACTGAGGAAGGAGGTCCAGTCCACAGCCCCGGGAAGTGCTGGAGTTTTCAGAAGCCCCAGAGGCAATCACAAAGAGCAGGAGGAAGGCAAGCGCTTGGTAGGTTCTCATCTTTCTCTCTGACAGCATGAACATTCCAGAAAAGTTGGGGGTGGTGAGGAAAAAAGATCAATTCATCACAAGACTCACACTCACCTGACTTCTCCACTTCATTTCAAAGCTACTAGCCCATATGGTGCTTTTGGACACTTAGGAAAAGGCACCATTTATCCAGGCAGCACTGCTAATCATGGCAGTGGGGATAGGGTGGTAAATGGATTTTGACTCCCTTTGCCAGGCCCAGTAAACAACCATGAATCATCATCACTAGTGGATGAAAGAGAGGCTGAGAGGGATACTCACTTTCTCTAAATACCCTTTCATATTCTTTGATTTTGAGGCCATATCTGACCTCTTAAAAAATAAGGGAGTAAAATGAAACTTTAAAGAGATAGTCACAGGGCAAGCCTGAGCTGGGAGAATGACATGCATCACCACTTCAATCTCTCAATGGTAACAGCTAACACTTAGCAATGACTCATTCTAGGCCAGGCACTCAACACATTCTGTCCTTACACTGTTGACAAAAAAGCCATCAGGTTAGGATATTAGCCCAAGGTGACACAACCCAGCTCCTAGAAGACTCCCAGCATTTCAAATGTGGTACTGTGTACCCATAATGAACTGTCTTCCTAGGTTCCATCCTGAGTTTTCACACATTTTATTCCCCCTCCAATGATTTCTCAAGAATTCACCCTTCTAATCCATGCCAGGTTATCTCTCCTAGAGATGCCGCAGGGTGCTCTTTGGCACATTCTCTGACCCCCATGCAAACTGGAGTCTACAAAGCAGTCATGGTGACAGGCTTAACCCATGTCTCTTCACCCTTCTGGTTCCCTCTGCTTGATGCTCCTGACCCTTACCATGGAATACTGGTCCTCTGCTGGTCTCAGCTCTAACATCATATACTCAGACCTGGGACAAGACTACACTCCTAGTCCTCTTTATCAGAGCCTCTTCTCTATTTCTTAGTCTAATCAGTTGTCATCTTTGTGCTTGTTTACTTTGTTTCTACTGTCCCTTTCTTCTGTCCTTCCTTCCTGTCTTCATGGCTAGCTGTCTGTCCTGTCCATTAGCATAAACAGGGGTTCTCAAACTTGAAACTGTTGACATTTAACACCTGATCATTTGTTGTGGCAGAGCTGTCCTGGGCACTGCAAGATGTTTAGCAGTATCACTGGCCTCCATCTACCAGATGTCCAAAGCAACCCACCTCCCCCAACTGAGATAATCCAAAAGATTTGTAGACACTGCCAAGTGTCCCTTGTGGGCAGAGTCACTAAATAAGTACCACTGGTATAAACTCAAGCACTAGCCCAGTGCTGGCACAAAATAGATGCTTAATAAAAACCAAAGTCACCAGGTCTTCTTCCTCTACCCACCATTACTGCTCCTTGTTTGTGAAGGGAGCCTCATCTCCAGAAAGCCCTGGCTTGTACAGCTTTGCTCTATTGCCATTTTCTAGGCATCTCCATCAAATTCACTGCTTTAGTTCCACCCATATGTGAGCCTATAACCAGCCAGTGGGTCCCTAGGGCTTCCCTAAGTAAATATGGTATTGACCACCTCTCTTTGATCCTTTAGAGGATCCTGTGAATAGTTCTAATCCTCCCTTGGCCATGAGACCATTGACTGGATTAAATTGTTGATGAATCTGACAGAGAAGAAGTTTGGTGCTGCAGGGAGTATCACCTTTGCCTATAGATGACAGAAGACAGGCTAGCAAGGGATGGCACCTGCTAGAGATTTTCTAATACAACATCCTGCTCAGGCAAATTATGAGTGAGGATGCACCCCAGATGTTGGTGATCTGGCCCACCATCCAGCCACTATTTGTGAACCTGCCACATAAGTCACTGGAGTCCTACCTCAGCTACTTAGGCTTTGTCTCTACACCTTTATGTGGTTATTTAATTAACTGACTCACTGAGTCCTTGAAATCAACTTATTTAAAAGAATACAACACACTGAAATACATATATCTTGAAATGTTAAATTGCCTGTTGATGTAACTCAGGTAGCATATCCAGTGGCTATCCCTACTACCACACTTTGGAAAAATATTGTCTTGGTGAGAACTGTTTATCACAAGGTCCTATAAGAATGCTGGAAATGAAAATTTAAGAACTGGTTATGTCAGAACTAAATGCCATTCTGACCCCGGACATAGTGGAGGGACCCTGCAGTTGAGTTCCCCCAGATATCTCATCAAGGATGAACATAATTAAGAGACTTTTCAGTAAGTAACAACAGGACACATACCATGTAGCCCCTCTAGCTCACCACCAGTGTGGCTGTAGCCCCTCTAGGGCAACCAGACTCACCACCAATGTGGCTGGAAGAATGAAGAGTAAGAATGTGCTTCTGTAGTCTTAAACCCCAGCCCTCTCTCCATGTATCCTCTAGGTCAGTTGTTTCTAACCAGGGGTGATTTTGACCCCCAGCAATATTTGGCCATGTCTAGGGACATTTTGGCTTTCAACACTGGAGAAGGGGCTGCAACCCATATCTAGGAGGTAGAGGACAGGGATGCTGTTAAACCCTACAATGCATGAGATGCACCCTACCCCCACCAGCCACAACAAAGAATTATCTGGCCCCAAATGTCACTAGTTCCAAGGCTAAGAAAGTCTGAGGCCACTTGATGCCAGAGTTGATAGGGAAAATGGTAGGTAACCAGCCAGGCCTCTCAGCCCCAGGCCTGCATCTCATGTCCTTTCCTTGAAAGAATTTGGCCTTCCTTAGCTGCCTCCACTCTTGACATCTCCTTTCTGAGGCCTGAGCAAAAGCTGGGACTTGGTCTCCCCAAAAGCTGGGATTGGTCTCCCCAAATCCTCTATCTTTCTAATTTGTTTTCCAACCACACCAAGAAACCAATGGGGTGATGAAGAAAACAAGACAGCAACGAAGCTTCTGAGGTTGAGCAACACACTGGTGGTAGTCCAGGTCTCTTGGCTCCCACTCCTTTCTGACATGGTAAATTGATACCCCCTTGATTTCTGCTTTCATTCCAGAGGCTCTCTTTTTAGGAAAACTGTTGCCCAGCAGCTATTTCTCCCATTTCTGAAAAGAGCTCTGGATTTTCCCTTGGAAAGCCACATTAAGCCCTAGTTCCAAGCACCTGACCCAGGCCAGGCCATTCGGAAAATGTAGGCCACCCTTTGGCCACCCTGACTGACTCAGGGACAGGCACATAGTCTTAGGATATTTGCTAGAATTAACTGGAAAGAGGTCTTCTAAGCTAAAAGGACATAGGCCTGGAGCTGGAAAGAACCTATTTACCACCATAGGAAGAGAACCTGTCCCAGAATAAAGTTGACCCAAAGGGAATGGCCAAATGATAGGGTCTTAATATTTTAAATGGCTAGTTTCAGCTATTCCTGAAGCCAGGTATCTTGGTATTTGCAGTTCTAGTAGCCAATTAATTTCCCTTTTATGAATTAAGCCAGTTTGAGCTGGGTTTGTGTTACTTGCCAACAGAGAAGTTCCATTATTCCTTCAGCATCATGTGGCTCCCCTTTTCCATGAAGTCCTCTGTACACAATATCTAGGTAGTCAGAGGCTTTAATATGGTCCAGCTATCTCAGGTGAGTCTTTATCGCTGCCAAGGATGCCCATAAGGTGACAGCCACCACTATAGAACAATGTCCAGGAAAATCAGGAGGAGGGCTACATACTGCCTCACAGAATTAAGCAGAGTTCAGCTTATTTAGGGTTTCTGGGGAGGGTTCAGGATTGACCTGCAGTTTTCTATTGCTGTTGTAATGCTATTGACAATAACCGTTAACTTATCATCCTTAACTATGCTCCAGGAACTCTTTTACACACTTCACATATCAATGCCTTTATAATCTGCACAAGGACACTAAGAAACAAGTACTGTTACTATCTCCATATCACAAAAAATAAAACAGGGAGATTACCTGGCTTGTCCAAGTTCACATAGCCAGAAAGCAGTAGAGCCAAGAGACAAACAATTGTACTATTGTTGCTGGGCTATTACTGGGCTACCCAGACCAGGGTTCTAAAAATGGCCAGTCTATTTAATTTAATTTCTCCCCACCCCCATTAGGCTCTGTGCAAGTACACAGTACACTTGATCTTTATTGCATGTGCCACAGTTTTCAGTTATTTTATTTATTTATTTTTAATATTTTATTTATTTATTTTTAGAGAGAAGGGAAGGGAAGGAGAAAGAGAAGGAGAGAAACATCAATGTGTGGTTGCCTCTCATATGCCCCCTACTGGGGATCTGGCCTGCAACCCAGGCATGTGTCCTGACTGGGAATTGAACTGGTGACCCTTTGGTTCCCAGCCCGGGCTCAATCCACTTATCTACACCAGCCAGAGCAGTTATTTTATTTTACTACTCTGTTCTCTAACCACCACTCCAAGGGCCCACAAGGCCCTTGTGCGTCTTGTTCTGCATGGATTCCCCAGTGCCTGGCACATGTGCAAGGTTTATGACCCAAATGAATGAATTGCTAAATATGATCTCCAACCCTAACATCACCAACAGGGCAGATGTTCTCATTTCCATCTTATAGAGGAAGGGATTGAGGGTCTGAGAGGTTTAAGTCAAAATTTTGCCCTTAGAAAGGTAATAGCAGCAGCATCACCCAGGAACTTGTTAGAATGCTAGGGCACACTGAGGTCAGAGGAACATGTAGTAGGGAATGCCAGGATGCCCACCTAAGATCAGATAGGTGGTTCCCACTCTCTGGAAATCCCATTCTGCTGCACTGGCCATCTGAGCAGCTCTCCAAGAACTTTGAACAGAACAGTATAGATCAGAGGTTTCAAGTCGGCCACCAGGGAAAGTTGATTGGGACAGGATGAATATATAGCAACAAACTAGTGGGGTGGAAGCATACAGCTCATCAAAAGGAGAAATGAATAAATGTGAACAATTGTGTAAGACTCAGTTCACATATTAATTACCTTAGCTCTAGCCAGGCTCCCAGAAATGTGACTCATTCAGATGCTCTTAAATATACTACATTTTTCTTTCTCTCTCTTC